ATCGCTTATTGTATCTCTGTGGAATTGATTGCTTATTGTATCTCTGTGTAATTGATCGCTTGTTATATCTCTGTGGAATTGATTGCTTATTGTATCTCTGTGTAATTGATTGCTTATTGTATCTCTATGTATTTGATTGCTTATTTCATCTCTGTGGAATTGATCTCTTGTTATATCTCTGTGTAATTGATTGCTTATTGTATCTCTGTTTAATTGATCGCTTTTCGTATCTCTCTGTAATTGATCGCTTATTTTATCTCTGTGTAATTGATCGTTTACTGTATCTCTCTGTAATTGATCGCCTATTTTATCTCTGTGTAATTGATTGCTTATTGTATTTCTGTGTAATTGATCGCTTATTGTACTCTGTGTATTTGATCGCTTATCGTATATTTCTGTAATTGATCGCTTTTTTTATCTCTGTGTAATTGATTGCTTATTGCATTTCTGTTGAATTGATCGCTTATTGTATCTCTGTGTATTTCATTGTTTATTATATCTCTGTGTAATTGATCGCGTATTGTATCTCTGTGTATTTGATCGCTTGTTGTATCTCTGTGTTTTTGATCGCTTGTTGTATCTCTGTGTAATTGATCGCTTATTGTATCTCTGTGTAATTGATCGCTTATTGTGTCTCTGTGTAATTGCAGTATCCTTTGGTCGAGGAAGGAGATATCCCAGAATTGGCTGAAAAAACCACACAGGCAGAAACCAAGCTCAGAGAAATGAATGAAAACGAAGAAGCGCTCAATAAAAACTACACAGAGCTGGTGGAATTGAGGTGTGTGCCCTCACTTGTGTCGTTGTCATTTGCCTGTGTGGTGCTTAGCTGCACTTCGCACGTTAATTCTTATATGGTATGTATAGCTCAGCTCTCCATTGGTTAGTCGAACGTCTGTTTGTTGAACTTGAGTTCTACGTTCCAATTAATGTTAGTGTAAGCCATTCCAATTAATGTTAATGTAAGCCATTCCAATTAATGTTAATGTAAGCCATTCCAATTAATGTTAATATAAGCCATTTCAATCAATGTTATTGTAAGCCATTACAATTAATGTTAATGTAAGCCGTTTCAATCAATGTTAATGTACGCCTGGGGCTGGATACGCACTGTGAATGCCCGAGGGTTGCAGAATAACCACCCGGTGATTGCTGGCTGCGTGTGTCCCTGCACTGGTTGCACCGATGTTGACTGTGCTCGTGTATGGTCTCTGTTGCTAAGTAAATGCGTGGGACAACTCTTAAACTCATCGACTTAAAATGGGCTAAATCATGCCAAACCCTATACAGGAATGTGATTGCGGCAACGTCACACTTCTTCGACGACAGTTACGCTGACTTTGACGAACATTCAGACTCGTCAATTCTCCCACTTGCTGCCACGGCACAGACAGTACAGACCACTGGTGGTGTGAAGATTGGGTATGTGAGACAATGTGAAGATGAGTTATTATGTGACAAGTATGTAAAAACCCTAGTAACCCTAAATCTTAAGCGATTCGGGTTTGGTCTGAGTGGGAGGGATAACTAGTCGTATGCGTTGTCATATGCACTATATATAAAATTTATATAGATGACCTCTATCTACCACTTTAGCCCTATTAACTGGTGGTAATCTTACCACTTTAGTCCCACTTGCCCATTGTTACATTGTTATATTGTTTGCATGCACCGTACATTGGTCATAGTTTCATTTATATTGTTTATAGTTATAATATATTACATTGTTACATTGTTTGTAGTCATAACATATTATACTGTTACATTGTTTGTAGTCATATCACAGGCGTACTGGAAGCCTCGCGATACGCTGGATTCGAGCGAGTGATGTGGAGAGGGTGCCGTGGGAACGTATACCTGCGCAACGCAGGCATGCAAGAGAGTCTCAGAGAATTA